AATATACGTAATGTATGCGTTTGTCTCTAATATATTCACTTTTACGATATTAAATGTCGGTGATAATACTGAAATTTGGGTTTCCTTTTAATAAGTTCTACTAAAATCCATCCATACACTATTATACACTATTAATAATTCTAACCCTAAATTATAATTAAAGAAAAAAATGTTTTTCCACATTAGCATATTCTAAATTTCAGTATCATTCGGTTTCAAAGTCATTTCCAACATTAAATTTATCAATAGAACAATAAAAATAATCAATGCGCCTCGAATACTAACAAATAATTATTTATTATTAAATTCAGGTTGTCCATCTCAAAGTTCTTTTCTTGAAAAATTATACCTAGTAAACACAATTGCATGTTTTTTTGTGTTTCTTATGCTTACTGGATTACTTATTTGGAGAATGGCTGTAAAAGGGCAAGGGCTTATCTCTAGGGATCCATTAAAAGAAATGGAAATATTGCGTCCAAAACCTCTCGAGTGTTTTCTACTGCTGAATATTTTCCATGTTGGATGTAAGTTGTATTTTGGGCACATGATATATTTTATATATATATTTCATATATATATATTTCATTTAAATAACCAATTCATCATTAACAAACAATATCATTTGTTTCATATAGCACGGTTATTATATTCTGTTTGCTTGCTTAGCGACTTCTTAGCAAGAAATTTTCTCAAAGAACGTATGCATTATTTTCGTAGACTTATTTTTTTTTTAAAGTAATCATTATTATTCTTTTTTACTTATAAAAACAAATTTTTTTTTTTTGTATCAAGTTATACACGATGTAACATTCACAATATCATTGGCTTCATTGGCCGTATACCTCATCGGTTTAATATACACGATACCACGAACTCACATGGCTGCGCAACAAGCAATTTCAGGATTTGAAAAAAGGCCTACAATGTGGGTTCTTCGACCACAGATTATAGATGCTTTCAGTTTCATATTATTCATTGGCCTAATTGGTTTGAACGTTATCGCTACAATGTCAGGACTATTCATGGATAATAATAACATCAAAATGACAAAGCTTTGGATTACCATTCATTACTTGGGATGGAGCTTTTTTTGTTGGATTATAATTTTTGGGATTGTTTATTTTGGAAAAAAGTTGATTTCAATAATAGAAAAACATATTCTGGTATATTAAGTGATCATTAAATAAATATATATGTTTTTTAGTTACTACGATAGTTTTTTGTTCTTAATTTATTCCCCTTATTTTAGGATACTAAAGGACATAGAAAAGCATCATCAAAAGTCAGAAGCCTAGAACTTGGCTTAATAAAGGTTTGTTTTAATAATCATTAATCATCATTAATAATCCATTTTCCCTTTATCTAACTTAAAATTACTTTGTTATTTCAGCTACGACGGGTCCGCGTTCTATTATTGAGCGATTTATTCTTTTTTGCTATTTCATCATTACTTTTTGGGTTATTTCGAGAGCAAATTCTCACATATTCTATAGCTATTTCGCTTTTATTAGCGACTTGCTGGATATTAATCGTTCCGTTGACAAATGCCATAATAATTACGATATTGGCATATGAAATAAATGAAAAGACTCGAATGCCAGCTTTTCGACCCAAGACATCAACACATTTTCAAACTACTAGAAGTAATGATGATTTTACGGTTGCATCATTAAAAAACTTTCCTCCAAAAACTGTAAGAAATGATAGAAATTATCCAAGTAACCAAAGAGGAATCACTATGCATATGGAACAAACAGTATCAATCAACAACAACCCTTCATTTAACAACAACCATTCATTTAACAACAACTCTTCATTTACTCCTGGTTCAAAAGCACTAGAATCGCCACAAGATTTTATGGAAACTACTAGTGATCAATCACATATATCCCGAGATGAAAGTGGTGACTCAATAGAACTTGTGGTAAATCCTAGGCATCATGAATTTTCATCCCGATGAAATTCCAATAAAATAGATCCCAATGTAGTATACTTGTCATAATATAGAATTATACTAGCATATATATTCACATTCATTTCATTTATGTAATTTATAACATGTATTAATTATCCATACAAAAAAGTGTATCTACTATGTCAAGTGTTATTCAAGATTTATTATTTTTAATGTTCTATATTTTATATTTTGTATATATATATATATTATTGCTATATTTTTATATGTTGCTTATTATTTTATAGATTATATATTTATTAAATAGTGTAGAGTAGGAACAAAAAGCAATGATTTTTTTTATCAATAAACCAATTTATTGTAAACATGTTTTATTTATTTTTGTCCTATAACCTTTTTTTAAACTAATACTTTATATTAACTGTTCTTGCACATCCAATATTACTTCAACCCTTTACCGTACCCTTTACCGTACCCTTTACCGTATTGATTCTATAACCGACTAGCGACTGGACTCGTGTTAACTCGTAACTCGCGAATTAATTTCTAAAGAGTGCTCGAATCATTTGAATAATAATATTTTTCGAGTTTTATTCGAGTTTTATTCGAGCCATAACAATTAATTTATTGAAAATTTTGTAAATTGTGAGTTACAAAAACAAGTATTAATAATTTTAACATCATACGCAGCACATTAATAATTAACTCGCGAGTAGCTCGCGAAGAATGATAAATTCGAATTATTCGAGTCACGAGTCCAGTCACTATAACCGACTAATGATATATGTATCAAATTTACATATATATTAAGGTATTGTTCTTTAAACCATTCTAAATGTTTTCAATAGGTTGGGAATCTCCTAAATTTTTTCTAATTGTTTAATTATTTAACCATGCTAACCTTTTACGTAATACAGACAACATAGTCGGAATTATGAAACAATTTATGCAGTTAAACGGTTCCAACTATTATTAATTTGAATTAGAGAATTTGATTGGTCATGTTTTTTTTTTTTTTTTTACATATATATGACTGGGAAAATTGTGATATGACGTATTAAATCATGGTTGTACTTATTGATGCCTAAATATTTGCTTACAGATTTTGCATTGGCATCACTCATATATATATATTAAGAAATTTCTATTTTCACCGGGTTAAAGTTACCCGAAATATTACTACGTGATACCAATAATTTTAGTTATGTAATTGGCATTATAGTTTACGTATCAGGTGAAAATAGGACTTCCTTATATATTAAATTTTCAATAATTATAATATTAAGTTGCCTTTGTAACCAATCAGCCTATATACTGTATGTAGATCAAAATATAAATAAATAATACAAGATAATTTAGCTTACAGTAATTTTGAAATAAATACGCATATGCTTTCAATAGCATAGTATATAGCATTTAAAACCAAATATATATATACGTATATTACTTACGTATTAACAGTATTCCTTTAAAGTAATTCTCAAATGCAAAATAAATACGTAATGAATTTGTTTCGAAAGATTCCATAGATTGACTTGGTAAAGCTGTTACTTAATATAATGTGCTTATTTTTAAATGAATATGAAAAATAGTGTCACTTTTAAAATAAATACCTTTAATAGCGTTTGATGGCGTTTGTTTTGCTAGTACACAAAGTTTGGATGTTGCGGTGCGACAATTGAATTGCCTTTTAATGGGGTCGTCTAAAGCGGAGCAGAATCACGTGATACTTGACCAATCAAATCATAGAATTTTGATGATCGCCGGCGAAGCAAAACAAGAAATAAAAACGAAAAACCTGAAAAAT